AGAAGATTACACTTGCTTTTGAGCTATTATCCAAGTGTTCCAAGCATTGTCCAAGCCAATTTGCCATTTTAGGAAGAAAGTTAGCATTCCATTCTTGAAAAGTTTCTTTAATCACAAAGTCAAATTTTTTTGAGCTTCTAAATTGTTCTTTCTGCACACAAAACCCCTATAAACCAAAATAAATGTGTCTAAGGTCTCAAAAAGCTCAAAACATGCTTGTATAATATTTGAGATTTGTCACTTCACTTTTCTTAAAAAGCAAGTTATAGATCCATAACCCTATAACTCAGAAACCTTGAGTGATTTTGTGCTCTAATCTTTTCCATACATATTAACAAGTAAATTGAAACACAACACACGTTTGGATAAGCCCTAAAACACTCCCAAGCGCCTTGTTGCACAGAACTGCCCAAACTTGACAGTTTTGAGCAAAAACTCACCATCTTCATTTCCACTCGTGCGTTTTGAAAACTAATCATCCAAACACCTTCCATACATCATATCAAAGTGATCCAGGCCCTCATTTCCTAACTGTAACTCCTCCTCCATCATCATCCACCATTTTCAAAACTGAAGCTTGCAACTTGACTTAAGTTGGGAGTTCCAGCCATCCTCAAAGCAAAGTATGAGTTAGAACACATTCAAGAAGGTCCAGGCAAGCTACAGAAATTATCAGGCCATCACAAAGGTTGCTCAAACTCTATACACGACTCCAGCTGCAAGAGGTAAGTTTTCAAACTTCTATCTCTTTATACAGGCATCATTTGAGTTTGGTTTGTGAAGATAAAATATAGATACCATTGCCACGAAGCTGTACATATCCATAGTTTACATTTATATGACCTAGGCTTAGAGAATTCTAGGGTTGAAGTTTTCTGAAATTTTTAGGTTTTGAATTAGGGCTATAAAAATTCTCATTCATCTTTGATTGTTAGCTTAAGTTTTTTATATGGTTGGATTCGTGGGAAAAAATGCCACAACTTTCATGTTTGAACTTTTCATTTTTGTTGAGAGATGAAGAAGATACAGGTCATTTGGCTGGAGGTTGAAGATGAAGTGTAATCAGGGCGCGTTTTGTGTTATGTAATTATTGTTTCAGTTATATTAACGGATGTATAGCCACTCCAGTGGTAAGGCAGCGCACGTTATTGGTAGATGTCATGGGTTCGAACCTCAGCGCTACCTTTTTGCTTTTGTTTTACATTTTTGGTCATTTTTCCTTTCTTTTTTTGCTTCAGCAAATAGGCGTTGGGCCTTTTGGGCTTAGCTTTTGTTTTTTTTTGTTTTTTTTTGCTTATTAACCCCCTGCAGGCTTTTGACACCCCTGGCCCATTTATTTTATTTTCCATTTTATTTTCATTTTATTTTCTTAAATATATTTTTTAAAATACTAAAAAAATCATAAAACACAAAAAATAGTAGATTTATATTTTAACTTACTTTATTTATTTTTCTCACAAAAATATATTTGACCACACTTTATTTATTTTACTAATTATTCTTGTAAATTTAATTAAAACTAGGATATTATTTATTTTCTTTTACATCAATTAAAATATATTATTTCAATACCAAAAAGACTAAAAATATTTTATAATGCTATAAATATCTTCAAGATAAAAAATGCCAAAAAAATACTTTTCTTAAACTTGTTTTCTTTTGATTAATTAATAAAATTAGGATTTTCATCTAAAATCTTTTCTCAATAATTTTAAACTTAATAAATTATTTTCTTTATTTTATTAGGTTAAGGTAAAATTCCTTTTTCATAAAACATCAAACAAAATATCCATTTTCTTCACATTTACCTGCTTGCATATTTAATTCATCTTGTACATTATTTATTTCAATTCTTGTATAAATTCAATTTGGTTGTAATAGACTAATTAAGGTTTAATTTCTTGCAATCCCCATTTGTAATTTGTACACCCCCTCCCACAAATGTTGTAATAGCGTAGTAACTTTAAATTTCGCAATTTATCGCTTTTATATAACATGCTAGTAATTAGGGTTTGTATGGAAAGACTAAAACCAATACTTAGAAAACCCTAATTCAAGACAAAAACAAGATAGCTTCACTGGACTCCTAGGAAGCTAATGCAACTCTTACTTTGTGATGAAAGTGCCTGAATCGTGCTGGAGAAGTCAATATGCAGAGGTCTATTTTTAAGTTTGGAAGATGAGAAAGATGATGTTACAGTTGTGAAACAGGGGTGGGGATGAGTTGCTTATGATGTATAAATGCTTTGTAAATGATTAGAAGTGAAAACACATGAGGGATTTGAGTGTTTGAAGTTTTTGATCAGAAATGCCAACAATGGAGGTTTGTGTGCAATTCTGAGTTTTAGGGAGTTTGAGTGAGTTTGAGGGATATTGAATTTGTGTGTTAGGTTGAAAATGGCTCCTCTATTTATAGAGGAAAGGTTTTGAACGCTCTAGTGATCAAAAACAAGGAATCACATGTTATGGTCTTAAAACTTGTTTTTGAAGCAAGCTTGACAAACATAGTTCCAATGCATGGTACAAGGACTTGTATGGTGGTTAAGAGGCTTTATATATGTTGCTTCTTGATTTAAAATGTTTTGGAGTCAGAAGCAACAATGCATGGGTTCAAGGAGAGTTGACATTGGGATTAAAGTCACTTTTCCAAAATGGAAGTATGAACTTTATTCCATTAATGGAATTATCAATTGGACAATGGCTCAAGCTCTTAGATCATATCTCAATTAGTTGAGTAAACATATGATTATGGATACATTTGCAAGTCAAGAGGCCTGCAAAGTAAGATTATACAACATAATTATAGGATTTGGTTATGTGTTCTTCATGAAGATGCCTTGTAATTCAAGAATGAAAGCTCAACTTCTTCTCTTCAATTCTCCTAGCTCAAGCATGATCTCTTCAAGTTCTTTGACATTTTTGAAAGCTTGAAACATTGTCTACAACCTTCATGTTTACCACTTTGTCTAAATCATCTTGGAACTTGGTGAAAAATTGCCAAGAAGTTGGGACAAAAAATCTGTCTAACTTGATGAAAATTTAACTAAGTGTTTTAGTAAAAATATCATGACTTCATGGGTTTATATCTTCAAATCTAAGCACTTTTTGGACATGAGCCCTAAGGGACAAAGTTGTAGAATTCATCAAGATCTACAACTTTCATGTTGAAAGTTTTCCTTGAATCATCTTACATCATGGTGAAAAATTATCATGAAGTATTGAAATTATCAAGGTTAAAAACACTTTGAATTTTTCTAAGTCTTTGAAATCGTGACTTTTTTTGTTGACTTTTTGACTTTCTTGAATCTTGATGATCAAGTTTGATATTTTTGAATATCTTGATCTTTGAATTTTAATGTTGACCAAAAAGTCAAAGCTTAACTTTTTGTGCATCAGTTGATCAAATTTCAACTATCAATCCATTGATCTTGAGAAATGATTTGGGTCATGAAATTAGGTCAACATGTTGTGTTTGGGTCCTTAAGGTCATGTTTCAAGGCATTAGGTCATGTACTAGGTCAAAAGTCATTAATCAGTCATTCTCAGTCAAAACCCTAATTTTGACAAATTTTCCCCTTTGATGATTTGAGTGCTTTTCTTGAGGTATTGTGATCAATCATTGGTCAAGTGATAAATATCACTTCAAAAATGTTGATGTTGGCCAAAAATCACGAAGTTTGACTGTATATTGACCACAATTGACTTTTTACCCAATACAATTGATTTTGGGGTACAACAATATTGTTGAGTGGGGATTAAGATTATCTTGTTGTGATTGAAAATGTTCGTGAGGTGAGAGGAGTTTTCTGGGTTTGGATTGTACGAGATTCTAGAGCTTTTAGACATAACAATGGCATATTTAATTCTAGAGTTGTTAAATTAATTCTTTGATTTCAAATAATGAACTTTCGCTTCCAGCTTTGACCTTGATTCCTAAGTCAAACTTCCATTTACTTTTCTTACAGTTCTTTGACATTCGTTCGTAATTTGAGCTTCCACCTTCGACTTTAAAGATTTAGAGTTCAAACCATTTTTAATTTTCTTTCAATTATTTAATAATTAATTCATATTTCAAATTGCTAAATAAATTATTTTTGTTTGATAAAAATAATCTGAAAAATTCAATAATCCAACTGAAATACTCTTTTCATTCTCTTTTATAAATAAATTTTAATTTTTAAATTAATTAAATAAATAATATATTTAACCTATATATAAATCGGATATATTAATTATTCAATAAATTTATAAAAAAATTATTTATAAATAAAAATGAAAAGAGTTAATTATTACGTATTAAAAAATATTTGACATTAACATTTTTTAATAAAAAATGGAAAAGGCGTTCAAAACTCTAAAACAAAATAGTAGATTAATGACTTCATAATATGGGGAATCAATCACGGGGGAAGACTTAAATAATTTATTTTTTTGGGGAGAAGAAGACTTTAATTTAGAGAATATTAAAAAATGCATTTAATTTAGAAAAGTAAGTACTTCATTTAATCTTTTCTTGATTCAAGTGGGAGGTAGGCATTTGTGTGCATTGAATGTTGATAACGTGACTAATCACTCTCAGAATCTGTTCGCACTGTCGACGCCACGCTCTCTTCCCTTTCCATTCCAATTCACAGATCCATTTTCCCATCCTCATCGGTACGTCTCTTCTTTCTCTCCATCTTCCGATTCCCGTTACATACAAATTTTTTTCATAGATCTCGATCGCCTATTTTTCGATTTGCGTTTTTTTAAATTTTTTTTTAATTATAGTTCATGCTATCGGTTATTATCTCCAAATTCGTTTATTATTCGTTTAATAACATAAGTTATTATTATGAAAGATATCGAGATTAATGATTTGGATAGAAGGATAGGTTTTAATAGAATATTATTGCGAAAGTTGATCTATGTAGTTAATTTCAGTTACTCTGATAAGGCTTTGTTGTTGTTGTTGTTATTGTTGTAACTGGTTGTGATTTGTTGCAGGTTTGTTGAAATAAATGGCCTTAGTCACCACTGCAGAAGTGTGTGATGCAAACCCACAGTTAATTTTAAGCGGGGAGCTTCGTGCCCTTCAGCCGATTTTCCAGATTTACGGTCGAAGACAGGTTTTTTCCGGACCAATAGTTACCTTAAAGGTGTTTGAGGACAATGTCTTAGTTCGCGAGTTTCTTGAAGAGAAAGGAAATGGAAGAGTGCTTGTTGTGGACGGTGGTGCGAGTTTGCGCTGTGCGATATTGGGTGGCAACCCTGTAGTTCAAGCACAGAACAATGGATGGGCAGGTATTATTGTGAATGGATGTATAAGAGATGTAGATGAGATCAACGGTTGTGATATCGGTGTGAGAGCAATCGGTTCTCATCCCATGAAAGCCAATAAGAAAGGTATGGGAGAAAAACATGTTCCCATAACTATTGCCGGGACAAGGATCTCTGATGGGGAATGGCTTTATGCAGACACCGATGGAATTCTTATCTCTCGAACTGAGCTTTCTGTTTGATTCTAATTCATGTGTAAGAACTATATTTACAAATTTGGAAGACATGTCATAGTGTAGTGCTTTCTGTATTTGTGTTTTTGACCCTTGTTTCCTAGCTTCCACAAATTTGCAATGCTATTAGTCTCCATGATAATCAAACTAGATTGCTTTGTTTTCCCCATATACACCAACTTTATACATGTTTTGATGAGCTGGGGGATTCAAAAATCACGGCGAGCCATCATGATTTTGTGAAGTTACAACGTGTTGTCTGTCAAAATTATAGTAGTTTATCAAAGTGTTGTCTATGTCTATTTTGAATTGCTGTTATGAGTACTTGTTAATGGTTGCATCTGTTACACGCTAAATTTGGAGAGATCCAAATGCAAAATATACACATGCCTTTTTTTTTTGGGACAAAATACATGCCCATTTTTTGATAAACAATAGTATTGTCATTTTTTGTTTGCCATAGAATGATGTTGCTGTCTAGAAACCAAATGTATGAGGTAACGTGATTCTGCCTCTGATTCTAACTACTTTGGACATGGAAGAGGAAAGGTATCAGATGATGATGTGTTGTATTGTATTCTATGCATATTAAATGTCTGTCCCATTGTAAACATTCCTCTCTCTCCGTTCTACAACGAGTTATCTCTACTATTTTACATATATTAAGAAAAGTATAAAAAAAGTAATATTTTTATTATAGTACCTCGAATCATGTATTGAAAATGATAAAGTTTAATTAATTAGATGATAAAATTAGAAAAAATGTATTAGAAATTGAAATGAGTCATTTATTTTAGAACACTATTTTATTCTAAATGAGTCACCGTTGGACGGAAAGGAGTATAATTTCCAAGGCATAAAGTGAATCACTCTAACTTGGAGTATAATTTCCAGGGCATAAAGTGAATCACTCTAACTTTTTTATATTCTCCAATCACTACTTTTGAAGGGCTGACATTCATTGTCGGTTGTGCAGCTGTAAAACTCCCAAACAGCTCTCCTGCGTGATTCTCATACTGTATTTGTTTACATATATGTGGGACAAGTGATAAATGATCAGTTTCTTTTCTAGTTATCCATACATAGGAAATATAAAAAAAGAGGCGTCACAATCATATTGAAGGTAGTAAAAAACTAACTGTGCTGAGAGTGTCTTAGGTCAACGCTTCTTCTAATGGACACTCATTTCGTGCCATCACATGCACCAATTTCATTTCTCGTGAATGTTTTTTGTCCTCTAAGCTGCATGGCTTCACTTTTTATAAGAATTTTTATATGAATTGTTGAAAAGGATTCACTTTGTTGGGATCCTTGATTGATGACAATGCTTTGGTTAATATGTCAAAAGTCTTTCTTAAGCTATTGACAATGATTAGAATATGTTGGGATTTGACGACAATTGGTGTGGTTTGAGGTTTAAGTTTAGAAATGCTTCTTGAAACCTCTTGTTCATATGCATGAAATTGAAAAGAAAAAAAGTACAATGGAACAGCATGATTTCAAGATATCTTTGGTTCTCATATGCTTTGGTTGGGAGTTTAGAGGGGGAAGGAAGAGGAAGACTTTGAAAGAAAAAAAGAAAGAAATAATTGAGTAAAAAAAATATAAGGATTTAGATAGGAATGATTTTGGGGTTTATTTTTATTTAAAAACTAAAATCCCCCGGAACTAATCAATTAATTAGAGTAAAGATTTGGAGGATTTTTGATGACTTAGACATATATTGTTATATTATTTTAAAAATTAAAAAATGTTAATGATAAACATTCTTTTATATTCTATGCAAAAAAAATATATTAAATATTAAATATTTTTCTATATTTAAAAAAATAAATCGAAATCGGCCATTCCCTCCCCCACCAAATTTTCAAACAAACTTATAATACTCCACCGTCCTCGCCATTTCTCATTTCACAGAAATATAACTTAACCTTAACTCCACCATCTCAATTCTCTGTCTTTGCTCATTCTTTACCACCCTCCCTATTCCACGTTCACCTTCCTTTGTCACCCACGTCGAAGCAAATAACATTAACAACACACAGTAATGTTATGTCTATTTATCATGGAATATAATTCCCTTATTATTCTTTTGAATTCATTGATAAGAAAACACAGAAGAGCAAGACAACAACCTAACTATAATGAAAAAAAATTTTGTTGGTGCTCACAACTTGTTTGTTAAAATTCTTCAACTAAACATCTTTTATATTGAGTAGGAGAGAGACACAATTTTGCATTGTCCAATAAATTTTATTTAGATAGGAGGTTTGGATGTACATTTTAAGGGTTTCATTGTTTCCACGATGACAAGGATGAGAACAATGATATTTCTCTTATAGTGTCCCATCTTAAAACATTACACCTCTGCAATGACAAACTGAAAAGTACAATACAGAAAGCCATTGAAAACGATTGATATTTGTTTATAGCATTGAAGGAGTCTTTAAGAGTGGTAGAGTAATGGACACGTGGAAGGTGTATGAGTGTTTTAGATACAAGGTTGTTAGAGAGAGTTCTCACAATTACCTATCTTCAGCATGAAAAATATACCTCTTAGGTGTCGTCTTGCTTTCTCTCAAGTATTAGAAGATACTCTTTATATGGTGGTTGTTGAGCTGGGATCAGTAGTTGCATGGGTTCGATTATTACATCTTCTTCATTTCACTTACAAGTAGTCAAGCCTCAAAATAGGCGGGATCACAAGTCTAGGAATTGAAAGTCCTTGCAACAACATCACATTTTGGAATGCTTAGCTAATTGGAGAGAATCATATGATCTTTTCAAATTAGTTAATAGTGTCTTCTGCAGCTTTAAGAAAGATAATTTGGGGCATGGGTATTTCATATTAAGGAGAAAGATGAAAAGATGAGCTCTAACAACAAGTAATGTTCCACAAGGTTACAGATGGCCACTTGACAATGACTATGAAAGTGTTAGGGTCATCCGGAGTGGCCTCATATAATGGACATGTAATGAAGGTTTTGGAGACTAAACACATGTACACATCATTTCCCTCTATGGCGACCACCTTGTTCTCTGAAGCTCCTTTAGTGGCTGAAGTTGATATTGTCTTCTGGTGCATTAACTCATTTTCCAAAGGGACATCGTACGTTAGAGAGTTTTTGTGCGCACAACATATATTAGATGCATTGTGCAGACAAAATTTTGTTGTGATTGGGTTTGATTCTTACTTTATTTTTAACTTATGGCTGAGAGAAAGATGTTCAATGAGTTTGGTAGAGTTTGTTACCTATGCGCCATTGATGCCATTATTTAAGCATGATGGTGGGATACAACCAATTTTTGTGGGTTTTATTAGCAGGCGACTGGTATCCAAGATTGCTTTGAAAGGGGCCAGTAAAGATGTGGAACAATATATCGATGACTTCTAGTTTAGGGTAGGTGTATCCCTTGGTGCTAGGGCCATTTTGTACATTTCCAATAAGGTGTTGACTAAATCACATAGAAATTATTCTTCGGCTACCCTCACAATAGATTTCTCAAATGCTTTCAACATGGTAGTGTCGTGGCATGAAAAATACTCGAGCACATCACACGCTTGAAATATAACAAAGTTGCCATCAGATTTTATTTACAAAAAACGATATGGTCTTCACAACCAAATTAGGGTTCGTGAGTCGGTTATACAAGGGGAGTATTAGCACTCCTCACATCTGTTATACTCAACGGTACCCATTTAGTTTGTCTCGTGATCAAATGTTAGCGTGATATTTACTTGTTTTCCTAATTATTGTGTGAGAAAAAGAGAAAGAAAGTAAAATGTTTTTGGTATTTTTATTATTGGGCTCAACAAGATTTTAAAATCTGGTGCCTACGTATTCCCTCGTGCAATGGGAAATTCAGAGCTTATGTAGTTCTTGGCAAACTTAAACATTTTGGATTTGGGTGACACGGATGAGTGTCCAGACCAACACAGACGAGTGTTGGAGACAGGTTTCACACTTGAGCGATAAAAGGTGTTTGAAAAAAGACTCGTACTTGGGAGAAAAAATAAAAGACTCGCACTTGGGAGAAAGATGAAGAAAACTCGCACTTGGGAGAAAAGGTGAAAAAAGGCTTGCACTTGGGCGAAAAATTGTTTATGGGTTTTTTAAAAAGTTTGTCTAATGAGATGTTGGATATCGCTCCTATGTATCCTCCGGTAAAATGAGGAACTCAAGACATACGTAGTTCTAGGGACTACACTAGTTTGGTTCGTTTTGAAAAGGAACTTGATGTTGATCAAGTTTTTTGGCTTTTTAAAAATGGTTTGGTTTGATTTGTGGTTTGAAGATGAACATGATAATGATCAAGAGCTTGAAAATAACTTGATGTTGACCCAGAGTTTACTGCATTTTCATGGAAAATCAACTTGGTGTTGACCAAGGCTTATTTCCATTGATTGAAAATGACTTGATTCAGTTTGAATGAAAAAGACTTTGAATTGAAGATTGCTTTTATTTATGAAAGTGTTGTAAGAACAAGATTGGTTCTGCATTTGACCTTAAGTCTTGATGATAACTTTACATGTTATATAGAAAACAATTGTGTACTCTAATGGTTTCTGTCTAGTGTGTAGCTTTTACTAAACAGGTTATGACTCTGGTAAGAAGGCGTGTGACGTCATCAGATTCTGAACTCAACACTCTGGAAGAATACCTATGGTGTGTTAGAAGTTATGTCAATGTTCTGGAATGCTTCTTATGCAACAATTCTAAGGAACATTAGTAAAAGAGCTCCTGATCATGACTTATGCAAGGAAGCTTTGGAGGCCTTCTAAATATTTATTTTTGTTATTCCATGTTCTGAAGATGCTGAAGACAAGGTTCTGCTGAACAGGTACTGAAGATCTGAAGACATTCTTCTAAAGACCAAGTGCTGAAGACTCTGAAGGCAAGGGTTCTCTGAATAAGCTCTGAAGACTCAAAGACTTAGGTTCTGAAGATATAAAGTTTTGATCCTTCTACAACATGCTTCATCAACATACAAATCCGAAGCCTCTGAAG